TCATTATATACTAAATAAATACAGGTACCATTAAAATAAATCATTTAAAAACTTGATTCTTATTTCGAGATATTTTTCAACTTTGCGACAATTTGAGTACATAAAAATTCAGAGTTGTATGCGACAAGGCATTATGTACTGATTACATTATAACCAGACAATTCGCTAATTTTTTCTACTGCTAAAAAACAGTTCTTACTGTAATATTCGAGACATTCTATTAAAAATATTAATAATATGATTTAAATATTGCATGTCATTTAAATTGACAGATTGAATGACTACAAGGTACATGTTAATATAACTATTAGTATATGCTCTGTATTTGGACTTTTTTTTTCATGATTTTATTGCAAAAAATATAAGCATACAAACTAAGTAGCTGCTTTCAATTAATATAATATGCCATTTCGTCAATAAAATATATATAACAAATTGATAATTATTAATTAAGTGTAGATTCAAATAAGCAAACAGTTCTAGATCTAGAAAACAGTCTCTCTATGCTAAGTTAAATGTGCCAAATTAAAAAGTTACTTGAATTTCTTATTAACTGTTTCAGACATTTGATGAATTATAAGTATCTGTAACATAGTTAGCTTTACATTACATGTACACTTCTTTTTTTCTTTTTTTAATCTGCTTTTTTCACAAAGAGGAGCCACAAGTAGTACATGAGATACATGAAAAAATTTGGAAGCAAGATAATACGAAGCGTTTATGAAATCAATAAGGTGTCTTAATCGTGAATATTATATTTGATAAATCTATTTAACTTGCTTTATAATCACAGTTTCTGCGTTGATACTGAAGTATATTGTAACTAAAATAATAGAGATTTACCACATGCAATCTTACAAAATTCTGACAGCATATATATATATATATAATGTATATATGTCTATCACAATGCAAAAAATGTTAATAAAATTTGTACATAAGTATGTGTTTCCAACATAAGTAGTGTATGTGTGGTTGAACAGATCGAATAGATTTGTATACATTATGATTAATTATATTCCCAAAAAAATATATATGTAAAATTAAACGTTTACAATATTATGCAATAGTTTCTGTCTATAAAAATTTGAATAGCATTCTGTTTTAAATTTATGGTTATGCAACTGATTTCATTAATCTTGGATTATCATATAACAGCATTACGTATTATCCACTTTGACGTTTGTTATATCTTTGTACGTTTAATCACAGTCATTTAACTTTTAATATGTTTCAGTTAATAAGACTGTGTTTTACTGTGGGTAGTAAATATTTAGCCATACATATAGTCCATTTTTATTTACTTTAAAGAAGGGAATGTATGGCTTCTATGATGATTCCGTAGTAACTTCTGGTGGTGTACTTACAGATGTTACCGCTGACTTAAATGCTGGTACAAATTCAGCTGCATTTGGATTTAGTGTACTCTGAAAATTTAAATTATACTATTATCATTAGACTCAATTTACAATACATTATATCATTTCACAAAACAATGATATATACTTGTCCAGCAATTTCAGCCTGCCAAGTTTTATTACGATTTGTCAAAAGTAGACGGTCAATGACTTGCCAAGTTTCATTACTCTCTGACAAATTTGCACGATCAGGTTGTTGTCCAGTTTCATTGTACAAATCTAGACGATCAAGTTGTTGTGCAATTCCATTATAATCTCTCAAATCTAGACGATCAAGTTGTTCCCAAATTTCATTATCCTCTGTTAGTTGTAGACGATCAAATTGTAGCCAAGTTTCATTATCATCTGTCAGCACTATACGATCACCTTGCTCCCTAGTTTCATCAGAATCCACCAGGTTCAGACGTTCAAGTAGACGCGTGAATTTAACATTACGCTTCTCATCCTCAGACACTGCTTTTTCACATTCCTCCATTAATTCCTCTTCCGTTAATCGTTGAATTACCTATATTTAAAACCAATTACTTTATGCCAATGCTGTTTATCACTTCACAAAAGTGTTAATACTGAACCTCTTCGTCGAATGCTTCTTCATTTTCCATCCACAGATATTCCGAAAAATCATTGTTCTCTATTTCTGGTGTGTTCGTTTCTGGCTCCGACTGGTAATCCATGTATACTGTAATATCCGTGTCGCTTGAACAATCACTCCCAGAACCAAAACTTGGTAGTTCCGTTTGCATTCCAAATATGTCTACAAGTACAATGAAATATTCTATATACCGATTAATTCTTGTACACATTAGTCTCTTTATATATTAAAGTACTTCATTTTTTACACAGAAACACACTCTAACAAATATTCAGCTGCTACATGTTACATAAAAACAAGTTACAAGTAATGGAAAAAAGATGATTTTTAATTTAAACGATACGTACAATACGTAATATTCTAAACCACGTATTTCGTTAAAGGATCGACGATCCGATTTAACGGAATGTATCACATTTAAAAATTCCAGAAAACAATGTAGAATAATATACAACCTTGAACCATTCTGTTCGAAGGAAACTCGTAAACGAAACTTTTAAATACACGGTCGCTTCGTTTACGCATATGGTAGCAGCAATTGCGAAGTTACGTTCCCTGCTACGGAAAACGAACGTTCCAGCGTTTACAATGAATTTATCGTTAATTATCCGAATCACTGGGAATTTTGAACGATCGTATTTATCGCATCGTAGCGATCGGATACGGGTGAATGTCGGTTGACAGATCCGTGTGTTACAGGGCAACCATTTTTAACTATCTATTTTGTAGTTACGGCGAACCGATATTTCTTAATCTTTATTCATAATTGCGTCGTCTATCTATTGTTATTGCGGCCGAGGATCGTTCCCTTCTGAACGTGAAGTGTAAACATACCTTTTAACAGCGCGTCTTCGGATGACTTGCGATAGAAAACACGATTTACGCAGTTCATGGGTGAAATACGTGTCGGGCAATACAAATTAACCCTTGGAGCAATGCCAAGATGGTGCTGCCACCATGTGCAAAAAGAGCAATGCACTTTGTGCTCGAAAAGTTGATAGATATTGATTTTGATCTGTGCGTTACGATTATTAAATAACGCGTGAGTATTAAAATCCGTTAACCTGGAATATTTTCGAAATCATTCTTAGGTACGCGACCAATTAATAGGAAATCAAACTACAATAACGTTTCGATTACGGTGGCAAACAAAATGATAATTCGATTAGAAAATCCTATGAATATTATTTCCACAGGGAAGTCAGAAAACGGGTGATTATCAAATTTATTCTTACGAATAATTTCAATGGAATTTTCCGATTCGGAGTAACCAAAATTGTAGCGCAGTATAAGGTGAATAAAATCAACATTGGAACAGGAAACAACGTAAATGTATGCACAGATTTGTCGTCTACTGTTTACGTGCATACGTGCGTACAACGGAATAAAAAATGAAACAACGATTATACATGGAGAGGAGTAAAATGAAAACAGGATTCCAATTGCAAGTAGCTATTTTTTAATATGTATTTCAACAAATTTATTTTTACAATTTCCATACAAAGAGTATACTAAACGTACACGAATAGTAATATTTGTTAAGTAATTAATTATGCATACAAGTTTGGTGCTCTCGTGGAACGTCCGATCGTATGCTCAGTTTTCTGCGTCATTTCGTGAACCTCCAGTACATGCGTTGAGTCACGTAGTCAAGGTAGGGGGACCATCGCGGTCATCGGCGTCTTTCCCTACTTCCATACTGTTCAAGTTTTACTTGCGAGTAAATTCAGGTTCCCCTACTCTCTATCTGTCGCTAAGGAAACTAAGACGCCGAGTATCGTGGCGGAATTCAGATGATCACGGAACGTTTCATTACCGAGCCTATTAATGATACTCATGGGTAAATCGAATCTATTCAATCCCATTTGGAACGTCATTTCATCGATCCTTCGTCGATTTATAGGAATTGTCTGAAAATTCAATCCCATTGATCCGAAGTTGCATACAGGACGAAATCACAAATTCACCTCATTCAGTCACCTATGACCCCCAACCAAATTATAATTTATTCAATTAAACTATAATCATCTAGAAACATATCAAAATTTTCTCTACTTTAATATTTAACCCTTTGCCCTAGTCAGACAACTGTCACTTGATTTGACCCAGAAAAACTAAAATCTGACATTTAACATTGAACCTTGTACAACGCCTTAATATGAAAAATAGTATATTTATTATTATTATTATTCGATAATTAATATTATTGTTCTTATTCGAATAGTTTTCCTTTCGAGTTTCAAAAATATCTCCGCCTGAAAAATAAACATTTCCACTGGAAAATTTCTAAGTGCCAAATCGCTATTTAACCCTTTACAGACGAACATTTGCTGAGATGGAACTGTCACGTTCGGAATACTAAGTTGCAAACAAACGACAACCATCGAAACAAGAAAGCAGTAAATTCCATATAAAATTCTGCAGAATCTGCGCAAGATTTCCACCAGTCGAAATCCTCGTCAAAGGGTTAAAATATCAATTGGTTTCCGGGAAAAAACATTTAACATTTCCACACCGCCATCTGGCTGGAACGTGAGAATCTGAAATCCATGCCCCTCGCTCCTGCCGGCGTCCTTTGTTACCAGCGGCGAGTGGTGGGGGGTGCGCAGCGCACTGGGCTCCCCCACCCACGGGCCGTTCGTGTTACTTGACTCGAGCAGTGTATTTACATAGAAGCGAGTGGCGCGCGATTGGCCGTTCCCGGTGACGTGCGTGTGTTGACGTTTCGTCAAAACAAAGCAGGCTCGGCCGGCTCGCCAAGCATTTTATCACGGTGACCCGCCGAGAGTGGATCGCATTTACGTTTAAACGGAGAGTTGATGAAAAGTGTCGGTTGACTGTTAGCGAGTGCCGCGTCCGGTTCTAGTGAGACAGGAGTGCCATCGGCCATCGCGATGTCGTCCACGGTGAAATTTACCTCCGACGAGAGTCTGGGCGGTGAGTAATGCTCCTTTTGTAAATCGATGGTGGAGCAGCTGTCACCGCGGCCATTTCGCGCGGCCATAGCTGACGCGTAAACAAACGCGGTCTCGTTCACTTTCTTCTGCGTCGCAGACGTCCGCCGATGCGTATCCCTCGATAAATATTCATGGCCGGATTTTATCGTTCCCCTTCGCGTATTACCATGAGAGTAACCAGCGTTAGGCGAGCGTGAGAATAATTTTGAGAATTTTGGCGCGATTCGTTTTTCTAACCTGACACGAGCCGGTTAAAATTGTCAAGTGCCACGTTGCTCGTGGAGCCCCGTTGGCGAGATGCTTTTCTTTTACGCTTTGTCGAACGGAGACGCGTTGTAACGATTATGTGCATTTTGCCGAGCGTTATATCGAATTTTCAATTGTTTCGCGTCGACTCTGCGTACTCTCCGCTACAAATTCTGCAGGCTATTGATCAGTGACATTTTGGAAATTCGCTGCGAACAACGGTAGTCAAGAATGTACAACGGGTGATCGAAGTTTCTTTCGCGATGTAGTTTTATTAATTTATCGATTCCCAGGCCTCGACACGGTGACATCGTATAAAATTGTTTTTCATTGCTACCCTTGCGTGCCTTGAGGACCTCTGTCGTGCTCCATATACATGATAAATGATAACTGCGACGGAATTAATAGATAAGCAAATTTTCATTTCACCATGAACCCCGTGCAGATAACCGAAAACCTTATCAATTGAGCACGAAGGGATTTGATGGAAACATGGGGAGAGTTAACCTACACATTGTCGATGAACATTTGATTGAAAATAACCTCTTGCCTTGCGATTCTCATGATCGATCCAACTACTTTATTAATAATTCACTGAAAATTAAAATCTAGGTAAATTCTGTGACAATGTTTGGTCAAGTAGTTGATAACAAAGGAATGATATTTAATTTAAACCCACAGGAATTCTGTAATATTTAGTTAGCACGATTTTAATAAAATTCACAAAACGAAACAAATAAATATTCCATTAAATCGTTTATTATTGCACGTTAATCTTTCCAATTGTCACAGCATTATGCAGCATTATTTCTAATATAAAACAAGTTCGCAAGTCATCGTTTAATTAACTGGATCGTAATTATTCCATTTGGCATTCGATATGCTAAGCTTGCTTTAAAATCTTCGCGAGTCTGACAGGTTACTGTAAGGCGAAAGGTTAACAGGAGCATTTGCATTTCCATTTACATTTCAGAGAACAACGTTTCGAAATGTCGCGGATTCGCGGTCTTTTCGCCATGTTGAAAAACCATCGTTTTGTAACGGTCGGACGGTTGCCCGCTTTAAGGCGCGGTTACAGCGCAGGGGCGAGGGAAAATAGCTTTTATTTATGTTTCCTTGGCTGCCGAGGGAATTCGTGAAAATAAACATTACGCTGCACCCATGGGGATGGTTAGGATTTTTATAGATCCCCGTTGAACATTGAAGCGTCGCGTGTTGCGTGTCTCTTGACATTCGAATCTCGACGTGAATGATTCTCTTTCGTTCGATTGTTTCGATGGGATCAGCCATAACTCCTGTTTCCCGCGCTTTTTTCATTTCTCATTGCTATTCAATATTTTATTATTTAACACTTTGACTGCCATGTCACCCGAATTCGGGTGATATTAATTTTTTTCATGACGTATCGAAGAAACCGAATTTCTTGATTTGTCAGTTTCTGGTTAATGGAGAAAACTGTTTCGAGTACACGGGAGTTTTGATCACGTGGCAATCAAAGTGTTAAAGATAAAGTTTCTTAGGCATTAATGAACGGTGTTAAATTTGACCCGTTATAAACAAATGTAGTTGTTATCAATGTTATTGTATTTTTCGGCGGTGTCAGTAGTTTGTTTATATTTGGAACACTAAGTCGCAACGGATGATTTAATTACTCAACAGCAAGAGATCAGCGTGCTTCCTTTTTTCTATTGTTTAAACATTCGATGTATAATTTAGCTTCAGTTGTAGCTTAATTCATAGAAATACTAATAGTTCAATTACGTTAATTCATAAGAATATCAATAATAGTTAACACTTTGCGATGTAAACTCATCGACTCCCACGTGCTCAAAACATTCATTAACCAGAGCAATTAACGATTGCTCCACTATCTTCCTTATATCTCATATATCCAAGAAAATTCGGTTTGCTCGGTACGCCAAGAAAATTAACGTCGAAATCACTGCCGAATTTGGGTGACGCGCAGTCAAAGTGTTAATGAGTGTCGGTCCTTAAAGGGACCCTTTGCACTCGAGAGGTGGTTCTCAGTCACCACGTGATTTGATTTGCAAAATTATAAAGTCTTATATATATTAAGCTTTGCATGATGCATCAGTATATGGACTATTGAAATAAAATAACTTTCCTTAATTTATATATGTTTCCTCGTTAATTAGTTTCAAAGAACATCGTCTGTATCTCAACGAAGAATACTGAATATTTCTAGTGAAAAACTTTCGAGTGCAAAGGGTTAATTCCGGGGAGCAACGTGCGATAATAAGCCCGAAGACACGAGCAGCGTTTCCTCGTGTTTACGTTGGCATATCGAACAATTGGGTCAGTGTCCCACAACTGCACTCGAGCCTCGGATTCTATTTAAACGGAACCCCGAAGGAACATGGCGGCCGGCCAAGTTCAGGGACGCCCGTACGAATGGCGGTTGGATTTCCTCCCCTCGCTCTCGCGTCGTCTCCATCGTTACCGCGGCTCTCGATGGAAATCGTTGGGAAACCGGGGACGTGACCGACGTCAGGGAAGCGGCGTTATCGAGAGTCATTACCGTGACGCAATGTTTTCTTTCGTTATGCAGCCGCACAACAGGTAGCATTCGCGATCGATTGTTTGCTCGCGACGATGGAGAGACGCGCGATCAACCCTTTGCACTCGAAAGATTTCCACTGGAAATGTTCAACATTCTCCGATGAGACAGACGATGTTGTTTGAAAGTAATTTAACAATAACGAAAATAAAAGAAATGTAGCATTTCTCATTTTCGTTAGGAATACTATAAAATTAGTTCAGTTGCTGATAGATTAGAAAAATAATCTAAGCTGCAGAATTCACACCACACAATTCAACAGTCTCGACGATTTACTAATGCGTTTCGAGTGTATACATTTTTGTTTTCGCTTATTTACGCATTTATCTAGTTCACAGCATTGCCAACTAAACGAAAAGAAATGAAATACTAAATTGTACGGTTAAAATATATCGCAGCCATAAAAATGCAAGCAAAGGGCGGGACAGTTTCGATCCGATTTATGCTCGCTTTCCGGGAACCGCGTGGCCGTAGCAATGGCCGCTTACGTGACCGTGCTCAGGAACGACGCCGGTGTGACGTCAGTCCACCTGAAGCGCTGTTACAGCGACAAAGTTGACCTAAGGCCAGGTTCGCGGGCTGAACTCTCGGTTACTGTCCTCCACTGTTGACCTAAGAGCTACTTCCCGGTCAAAGCATGACTGAAATCTTTGCACTCGAAGCGTTTCGAACGAAATATCCGGTTCGCCGACGAAGATTGCTCGAAGTATACGAAACCTTTTACAGATTTTACCCGATTAGTCGAATGTTTAACACTAAAGCTACCGAGCAGTAGAACATTCTGTATTTCATTCATCTAAATCAACTTATTGAATAATTTCTTAGATCATCCGTGCCTCTCCCATAATTGCGAAAGAAGTGTTGAATCGTAGATGACGAAATATTCTTGTTCGAATAGTTAAATCCTTCGTTTGCGACCTGGCATTCCAAACACGAGTGTCTGATCTCAGCAGAATGTCGACATTCGTCAAAGGGTTAATATCTTGCATCTAGTTTAACCAGTCAACTGTGTTTGACGAGTTACACGTCATAAAGCTTGACACTAATTCTTTCAGTGTAAAGCATGTAATTATTCTTTGTTTCGCTTTGATCTTTCATTAAAATATACTCTACGCGCATTCGTCCTGCGTTCGACGAGCACACGCTCCATTTTTCGATTTTACTGCACGCAGAGGTTTTTCCAACTAAATTCCACAGTTAACTGGTTAACGAATGCTCCGAGAAATCATTTGTTCGCGCGTCAACGTCGAATTTTCCGGAGTCGGAAACGAAGGATCCCTCGAGCGCGCAGCTTTCAGCCGCGAGACGATCGTCGCTTGAATCGATCTACCTCTTACCCTCCTGCCATTCAGCGTTTCGCTGCACGCGATGAATATTCACGCTCGGTTTCGATTTCAATGCTCCGCCGCATCGTTGCGGCGCATAATCGCCGACCGGTTTCTTCTGCAGCGGAGCCACGAACCTGTAGAACGGAAGCGGCGACGCGTAATGGCGTTTCCGTTCGTAATTCGCCCGATACCGATAATTTTTATCTTCCCTACCAGCGGAACACGAAAACTTCCGTCGCGATTGGCCGAGAAACGGGTATTCTTATTCTTCCCGTTGAATTCTTGCCAATGGTAAGCTATCGAAAGCAAAAATGGACCAACGTTCGTATGCGTTTAGTCTAAACAGGCGATAGGAAGGCAACCAGACGTATCTGGACTTCGTCACGCGATTCAAGAGACTTTTCTTGCGAAGGAAAGCGGAGGCCAACTTACTTTTGAGTGTCGAGTCATCGTTCGAGAATTTAACGCTAAAACTACCGAGCAGTTCAATTGACTTCTGAAAACCTAGTGTTAATGTCGTAATTTGAAAGTTAGATACATTCGTCTGATGAAAGTATCGCATTGAATACATTGTTAATTCGTATGTGGATATTTATTAATTTTGTGTTGCATAGGTTTCGACCCATAGAAGGTTAAAAGAGCTAGACATGTTTTCGAAGTTACAAAGTCGCGCTGTGAAATATACACCGTTTCATCGGCATTTCCAATACTTCCGTATTGTTGGTCGATTCCTCCTCTCGTTCGATTGTTTTCCCAGCCGTTATCGCGGCGGAAGCGATAAGGTGCTCGGAACCCGGCGGCAGGGGCGGGGGGAGAAGGGAAAATGTT